TCGCAGAATTATACATGAAACATAATTATATTTTACTAGTCATGTTGTAAAGGATAAATAACAGATAGTATTAAAATTTTAATTATTACTATAACAATAATAAACATTATTAAAAATTCCGTGATTGATAAAAATATTTCAATGCACATCAGTAATAATAATATTGCATGATAATAATGATTAGGTTGGCGGTATTGTAGAAATAATGACTTGTTGCTAACGCACTTTTGGTAGCAAACTATCGGCAGTGAACATGCAACACCGAATATTCAGAAACTTCAATCAAACACCATAAAGCATATTATTCAACCGTATTATTTAGACATTTTTTATTGTTAGGAAGTAGGCGTGTCTCTTCAATAGAACATATAACATATAAGACGCGAAAAAAAAACCATCAAAATTTGTGGAAAGTGTTGAACACGAGTATTTTTGACAATAGCCTATTTTAAAAATAACTCAATAACACGTATTTGAGATTGATATAAACTTTTTCTCCCTTCGGTTCTACACATAACAGTAAAAAGTAATATCGAACCAATCAATATTAACGTTTAAAAAACAGTTATCGATGGCCCATTCCACTCGATAAAAACTTGAATAAAAACATTGTAACTGAAATTATATATTTACCAAATATCAACTGAAAAGTAGCTAACAGTGTATTCGAACAATGCATAAGCGATAAGTCATAATCTTTTGTATTTTAATCGATACATTGTATTGTATACCCAAAGGAGTTCAACAAAAAAATATTCCATTATACAACAAAATCATTGGCACGTGGTAACTTTGTATAGACAACAAAGTTTAACTTGGAAAAAGCCTTTATGATCTCTAGTGCGGTACCTTGTCGACAACATTCAAAGAATCGACCTTAATAACATTCCTTATTTAGTGATAACACTCTATTAAATTCCAAATATTTTAAGCGAAAATTCCTTATAACCCGCACACATTTGAAAGTACCCCATATTTAATACGCCAGCATCAATCCTCAATGTAATTTCTCTTTTTACATCCTTTGGCATTTTTTTTATCACATCTTAATATCCACTTCAGCCTATTCCGATGGTGTTATATAACGAATGTTTTACACTCATAAAATTAAATAATTTCATAGTTATACTATCTAATAAAAGTAGCTTAATGTATATGATATATATAGAGTGTTCAGTAAGTAAGGAAACAGGTCAATTGTGACGAACAATTTACCTGATTCTTTAATTTTTGAACACTGTATATTTTAATACTATATTACATTTTAATAATCAATAAATAAAACTAAAAATAGAAAAAATTACAGGAATTTTTCAGTCTAACATAATGGAATCCTTAAACTACAAGAGATTCGACTTTTATTGGTACGTTAGACGACTATAATAAAATTTCTATTTACCAATTAAACGATAAATAAAAGTACAATAAGAAATTTTACGAGAAAAAATATTATATAATACAAAAAAGTTTGCTTGACAATAGTTAATTAATCTAGCCTAGACTATATTTTTTAACTAATCAATACAGTACGTCATATTATGTCAGCTTCATGTGAACAATATAAAAAATGAAAGATACTTAAAAAGCAAAAAGAAATCAATCAGTGAGTGTGCAATAAATCGTAGAGGCCTGAAATCAATTTGTGGAGCTGTATTTTGTCTCTTTTTTTAGTTGTAGGTACTTTTATGGAATCCATTTGACAAATGACTAAGTTAGTGTACCGACAAAAACTTCGTCACACAAAGGATATCGATAAAATTATAAAGTAAAAAATTACTTTTATTCGTACAAGAGCCAATTTGTCTTTTAAATGAAATAATTTATCTTCAATCGTTTTTAAATTCCATTTTTTCGCCTCCTATGAAAATGTAAGAATATTTTTATTTTATTATTTCACGTGTGTCAATTTTTTTACTTTGTATACTCTATTTGTTTTCAGTTTTTATATTAATATAAACATGTTTAGAAACTATAATGAGTATTATTAATGTTTAAACATTTGGTAATTACCAAACATTGAAATGACAACAATATTTTTCAATTTATTTCATAAATGTATTCATACTTATATAATTTTTAAGCTTTAAGATATCACACTAATAGATCAAACAAAGGTTATTCAATTCATAATATATGAGAAATTAAAATATTTTTAAAAAAATTCTAATAATAATCAAATGAAAATAAAAAACACCATTGACATTTATTTATGTTTAATAAGATTTGTATAGTATCTTATAAAAAATAATTTATTATTTAGCTAAAAATAATACTAAAATTGTATATTAAGTGAAATGTGTATGTTTGCAAGTGTTATAAGAGAATTATTTGATTAACTAATTGATCCTTTAAATTATTTTTAATTTAGAAATAAATCCTCTTTTACATCAAATAATTCTTTTTAGAAAAGCATAAGCGTAGATACGATTTAAAAATAAACTGTAAAATAGTCATTATGACAAAAGTTATATGATTTCTTAAAACACGTGAGACCACTGTTGTGACTTAACCATAAATTGATTATAATGAAGATACGTGGTTCACAAAAAAAGGCTGTTTTCCATTATGTATTCAAAAATTGTTTCTTCGTTGTAACAGTTTGCAAAGTACCAAAATAAAACTGTATGGTGTTATAAATATTTTCATAAGAGAATAGTTTACTCATAAAATGTACTAATAATATACAACATTTTTTATTTTAGAATATTAAATGTATGAGAATCTTTAAAATAAAACTTATGAACATTTTTGACAACCCTAAATTATATTTTATCACACACTTTCAAATTTAACGAGCAATCGTGAAATTTGAACAAAATATATTTAGATTTAAAGATTTATCAAAACGTTATAATGGCCTCAAATAAAAATGTGACATGAAAATAAATGGAGTTAAAATTTAAATAATCAAAAGTCAGTAATTAGAATAATAATTAGATATTATAAGTTAATTATTTTTTTAAGGCTTTAAAAAAAATTATATGTTTTGGCACATATACATAACTTACACGCCTAGAACAACAAAAAAATAAAAACTTGTAAACAATTTATTTCAAGTTCCAGATTTACGAACTTTTTTGTATAATTGACATTTTAATACTAATTGTTCAAATTTAATGAAATCAATTTATAAATCACTGTATAGATCTCATTTCTAACATTTAACGGTAATATTTCTAAATTTACAATAATGTAAAATTATACTATGATTATTTATAATATGTTATAATTATAATAATTTATATAGCTATTTATAAATATTATAAATAGATCAAAAATACGAGTGTACTAATTCACAATGGAAAAGTCATGTTTTAAATTATTCATAAAGTGGTCAAAAAATACGAAATTCATGAACTTGTAACAATTTCGTTATAACAAAAATACTTTTTATTTTCAATAATTTCTCTACCGAAAACAAACATTATCATCAAAACTATTATATGGGTTTAATAATTTTTTTATAAAGTTTTAATTGTTTCTTACTGAAGACAAAACAATTAAATAAATAAGTTATAAATTTTCACACGTTGAAATTTTTTTAAAGTTATCAAAACTTAAATATTTTTAGCCTCCCAATTTATGGCTAATATATTACGTTGAATAATTAAATTGATGAGTTGTTATCTATAAATATTTACAAATTTTATCGTCTTATTATATTATTTTTCTTAATAAGTGGGTTAATTACAAACAATAAAATAAGTTGGTTAAGTTTTTCAATTAAACTAAGTAACAGTTTTAGCTTTACTAATGAGATAAAACTCAATACTGCAGTTATATTTCATTAAAGTAAACACGAAATTTCTTTGTAATTTTTAGCAACACCTAACTGCGTCAAAACATGAGACTGTTTATACTTAAACAAAAGATGTATCATAAAAAAAGTTGTGTGTGTACTTAGGCTTTTACGCCTAAATAATACACAAAAACTCTTCCTTGAAAATACACAATATAACCATTCTACTCAAGTAGAAAAACTTCAAAGTTTCCTAAAAGAAATTACAAATAACACCAAAATTCTTTTTGGATACGCGTTGTTTCATTTTTGCAAAACGAACACGCCTGAATAAGTTAAACAGCATATGATGATAATTTAAAAACAATTGGTTTTTCTTAAATCGCTCAATTTTGTATATGTTACAAAATTATGTTATTAGTTTACACTAATCAATTAGTGTGAATGTGTCACAAAAACAACAGATATTAAGATGTATACGATACGGGCTAAGTAACTTGACTTATGCTATTGACGATAAGTCAGAAAATACATTGGTTTTCACTGTAATCAGTAGTTCTATTTAACGTTTGTTCTACTCGAAGAATTTCTAAGTGTAGTATTTGTCTTTTGCCGTTTACTTAAGCGCAAATGGCATAGTACGTGTTGTGATTAACACTTAAATAGTTTCAGCCTTGAACTACGTTTCCATTTAAACAACATACGAGCCTTTTCAAATTGTAAATCAATCGAGTAGTTTTTCTCGAACTTGATTTTTCACAAACTTCTGAATAACATCGAGATTTAGGGTTACGTTTTTTTCACGCTGGATTAAGTATTACTTATACTTTGACTACTGAACAACAATTATCCCACGCATAAAAAACGTTCTTTAACTTCAAATTTGACACGCTGGAAATTGAAATTAATCATTTTTCTTCGTTTACGCCAAAATCTCAAGTTTGTATTACATTTCTATAAAATCTCAAGTATTTTATTATGTAAACAAGAGTGTGTATTTTTTTCAAACGTTTTTCTCGGTATAAATATAAAAATAAATCATAAGGAATGTTGAACCATGATCCATCGCAACACAATTAAACTTGTATTAATATGACACGTTTGCAGATCATTTGGATCTCTAGTAAATACAAATACAACTTCTGAACGTTTAAGAGAAATTTAGTTTTATGTTGTTTGTGTAAAGAAATTAAAATTTGGAATTTTAAAATTAACACAAAAATTAAGGTAAAATATCCAAATAGCACGTTTTGCTGCTTACCTTTTGTCGATGGCAGTAATCCACTCGGTAGCTGCCATGCTCAAACTGGAAGAATTAAATTTATATTTTAGAAAAACTCGCGTACACCAGTAAATCGGCTCGGATAATACGAATTATAAAAAAACAGATTAAAAAATGATCAACGTTTTAAAACAATGTCGGTGGTAGCGGAAACGGCGGTGGTTCCAGCGGTTGAACTCGCATCGTGACCCCCAGAGCACCCAAAGGGATAACGGTGGCGGCGTCGTCTACTTGTTGAACGGGCGCGACACACGTGCGACTGCGACCCGCCGGCTCAAACGGTCTGTGATGTAACCCACGTCGGGTAAGCGCTCGAAGCGGCGAAATCCTTAGCTCGTTCCGCGCCGCCTCCTCCAACAGGTCATGGAAACGGTCGACGAAATCTGGTGGACCCCTCAAGTGTTTTGGTCCATTGTAATTCAATATACTATTGTATTATCACAAACTTTTGAGATCAGACTACACTCATTCACAGAGTACAGAACAGAATTGTATAATTCATCAAACAATGCATAAAGAAAAAAAAGACTCACTTAATATCTCGGCTATGAGTCTTTTAATGTAAAGAATTTTTTCATTTTTCCTCAAACTTATAGGCAGCAATTACCATCTTAAACTAAACATGTAATACTAATCATTTAGATAATACATGTCTACGATATTATATTGAAATACCGTACTGATATATCATTTATAAAAATTGATATAGTAAAAAAGAAATGTCTTCAATTTGTTGCATTTAAATCCAATATGTTGGTCATTGTATAGTCAATATTGAACGTTATTGTAACCTCGTTTCTTTGAAATGAAAACATCTTTATAATAAAACATGTTATATCTTTAAAATTTAAATGATTTTATTCATAGCCCGATGAATTATATGTTAAGTATTTGTAATAAGTTAAATAATTATGATTTTTTTTTATTTGATAATTTTCTCAAATTTCAAAATTTTGTATCCCAAAGATATAGTATTCAATTACATACATGAATTCTTTTACTCTTTTTTATATTTTGATTAATTTAACTTTTTAGCTTCGATGCGAAGCTTAGAAGGTATTAGTTTTACTACGTGTGTTTTTTTTTTTATGTCTGTTACCACTTTTTCTCAGCTCTCGCCGAATTGATTTCTTTCAACGATACGTCAAAAGATCACAAATCGTATCTAATGGAAAACATTACCCTCAAAAATTGAAAAAATTTCCCTCGTTCCCCGTAAATGGGGGAAATCTCCAAAAAAATTACAAATTTAAAAATTGCTAATTTTTAAATTTTTTTTACATAAAATTGCCATAACTTTTTTTAAAACAACCAAAGCAATATTATTATTTTTTTATAGATGCATTTTACCTTTCATTTGGTATATTTTTTTTTTAAATCTGACCCTTTACGTGCCCACAGGAGGGAATTTAAAATGACAACTTTTTCAAAAAAAATTAACTTTTTCAACTTAACTTTTAAAAGTGTTCAAAAGACTTTTGAAAAGTCTGACACTTTTATATATATCTTAAATTAAAGATAATGTAATATACTTTATTATGGAAAAAAAAATGTTAGGACTTTATTTTGTCTTCACGGTGAAAATAGTTACCAAATGCTATTTTTGTGTGAAATTTCTCGATTTTACATTTTTAACTTTATAATGCTATAACTTATTGAAAAGTGTATTGATCAATATAATTTTTTTATGGGAAATACTATTTTTTAATAATCTCTTTTTCATTTGACATACTTTATCTTAATCAGGATATTAATAAGGAACTAGCAGTTTATGAAGCTTTTGAATAATCCACCAATTTTTTAAAATTAAACACTATCTAAGAATTTGCACCGAAGCGTTTTTTATGATAGTGATTTTAATCAAGTTATGCAATTTTTTTATGATATAATTTGTACGGTTGTATTAAAAATTAATAAATTATTTATTTAAAATCAAAAAAATATTGACAGTCAATTTTTTAAATCTTTTTCTTAATCCTCGCCTTAATCCCAACTACTTGGGGCCAGTCACTTTTTTAAATAATATTTTTATTTGATCGATCAAAAAATTATTTTATTTCCATCTGAGTTTTCACAATAAAATTATTGAATAATAATGAAAAACAAATGAGTTATTTTGTTATTTAGTATGGAAACTGTATCAAGAAGTGTTAAGAAACTGACTCAAAAAAAAATTCATTAACTGCCTTCTAAAAATTATATTAAAAGAAGAATGCAATATCACAATCGATGCAATCGGTTTTAATACTCATATTAGTAATAACCACTTAATAAAAAAATTTTGTTTAAATTTGGGGGCCGTTTACATAAAGAAAATAAGTCTCTTTTTAATATAAAGTATGTAGCATAATTCTTAAGTTAACAAATGTTTAAAGCTTTTCCAGCTTAAAGTATTTCCAGAACAAAATTAAAACTAAAGTTGAAAAGTTATATTTTTGTGCAAAAGTTATTATCTTGAATCTTTCCTTATAAAAAGATCAATGGTTAGATTTTCAAAAAAAATATCTCAAGAAAGGGAATTGCCAAAGGTACTTATATAATAAAAAAAATTGTTTTGTATATTTAATAAAAAATTATGGCAGTTTCAGGAAAAAAAGTTTAAAAAATGACGAATTTTATCGGTTTTAAAAATCGTAATTTTTTTAGGGATTTCCACCATTTACGAGGAACAAGGAAAAAATGTTTAATTTTTTAGGGTAATCTCTGCTTTGGATCAAAGCAATTCTTATGGTTGTACTGAGTGAAATGTAATTTTTAAAAAAGTAACAGGAATAATTTTAAACCCTGACTTAATGTTAGAATTTTCCAGTGACTAAACAGTTATTGATATTATATCAATAGTCGTAATTTGCAGTAAGACATAATTTAGATATTTTCTTGGTTATAAAGTATACAATTACAATTTGCTACAATTAAATTGAGCATAATATTACGTCGTGTTTTTTGTTCGGCCAACACCGACTAAACAGAGGAAAACTACAAAAATAAAAAACGAAAATTTCACGTCACCACAATGAAACAGACTATGGTGAGCATAAAACATGCTGTACAAAACTACTTAATACGTTTCTTTATATTTATTAAAAAATCAAAAGATTTGAAGTACTGAAGCTACCGACTAATTGCTGCTGTCCAGCCGAGTTGTCACCGTAGCAGAAGGATTGCCGTTGTCATCTACCACCGCTGCTGACAAGTACTCTAGAAACCATATAAATATTAGAAGCTAATAGTATAGCGGAAGAAAAGAAATTAATGGTTTTATTTAGGTAAGAACGTTTGTTTAAAAGGTCTTTCTGGAACTTCCGTTTGCGTGACTCGACATGTTTCAATCTGGCCCTGTAATTTAATCTTTTGGCAGCATAAATTCAAGCTTTGGTAATATTTAATTCTAGATTAGTGTTTTGTGTGAAATACGAGTATTTCACTTCAATAATATTGACAATATCTCCGGGTTTTATAATTGTATCAACTTTTCTTACTGTGTTCAGATTTTTATATTAAAACAAACTTTTAGACTTTCGTTATCTTCATTAAATTGTTTTAATAATTAATTTTGATAGCAATGTTCTTGATATTATTACAAATACCACATTAAAAAATAATTGGATTTAAGTTGTGTAAGTTGAAATAATAGGGTGGTTTGATTTTGAACCTACAGAATACGTAAGGGGTAAGTTGTATAAGTATTGACACGGTTGCAGGCGTTTCGTGATACACGAAGCCCCACGACCCGCATCGCCTTCGTCAACCGTCTCCCTACTCATGTCAATAAATTGTAGTTTGACTGATTATCACCGCCTACGACATGTCAAAGTCTAACAAGTACCGCCACCCGTCGCAATACTACGTGAAGTCATCATCCCAACTTCGGAATCGTCTATATACGTATATGAGTGTTCAGTAAGGAACGGATTCTATTATTTGTAACAATTGACCTGTTTCCTTACTTATTGAACACCCTGTATGTGAATTATCCCATGTGAATTAATCCAAGATTATTATCATCATTATTATTTCGCTTTATTAAATACAATCGCTTTTTTTTATATACGATAATGATTTATATAGATTTATGAAACTAACATTAATATTTTGTGGATAAGCAATAAACGATTCCTGTGGATCATTGTCGATCATCGTACTTGTGTTGCCTACAACATTTCATTAAACCCATGAAAGTATAAGGTTACATTTTATTCTCATACAAACACAGATCATGTCAAAAAATAATCAATCTACTTTGACACGTGTAAATACCGTTTCAGAAATTTAAAAACATTTCAATAATTTTTAATTATTGAGTAATTCTCATTATAAAATATTTTATTACTATTAAAAATTTATCCAATTTGTTTGTAGAACTATCCAAAATACTATAAGATAATTGGGTACGAGTTGATCTATTTTTTTTTTAATATATCAGTCATACAATGATAAAAAGGAAATATATAAGCCATTTCAACATTATCCTATAAAATATGAAATAAGTAACGTTAAATTTTATTAAAACAATATAACATAAAATTTAATAATTTTTACTAAATTTCAAAATTTTTTAAAGAGTCAGAACACATACAAAATAGTTACAGTGGAAAGTTTTTTTTTCTGAAAAATGCCCATCTAACTCAAATTTAAAAATCAATAAAACTTAACGAAAAATTTAAAAAAAATAAAATATATATATTTTATAATTATTTAAGCATAGAAATTCTGTATATATCAAATATTTAACAGTATATTAATAATATTTAATATATTTAATTGAAGTTTATATGTCTGATCTCTAATAAACTGTTTTTGATATTATGTTAGTTGTGTCGGTATTTATTAACAATTAAAAAAAGAAATAGTTAACAATAATTAAATCAATAAGATTTTAGATACAAACTAAACTAGAACACTAATGTTAGAATTTATACACGTAAAATAAAATTTTATTTTACGTTTATTTAAAAAAATTTATTTTATTTAACACTTAAGTATTAAGTTTTATAAATAATTTTTTAAAAATTAATATTTCCCGAACATGTTTGCTTCTTTACTATCAAATAGTATCTAAGTTCATAAATTATATAATTATACTTATAATTGTTTAATTACTCATAAATGTTTTTAATATATAAGCTCGTTTTCATTGACATCGCTGATTGTGATACGCTTATCTATTTTATTTTCCAATTCAGTTATTTCTGTGCCACACATATCAATTATTTTTTTCACATCACTTTGAAAATTAGAAGAATTTGAGCATTTTGGACTTCGATAGTACATTTTTATGTAAGAAAGATGATTATTATAGAGCCATTCTCTACCAAATTTTGATGTTAATCTAAAAAATTGTGTATTAGTAATATAACAATACGCATGAATACAAACATATAAACCACAGTCAAAAGAATTATATTGCTCTTCTGCATTTTTAGCTAATATGAACTGCCATTTATTTACTTTAATTTTGGCTGATTTGGTACTTGGACCATTTTTAAATTCCTTTGTTTTATAATATGTACGTAGTATTTGAAATAATATTGCAAAATGTTGTTTATACCGTTCTTGGTCTTCATTATTTGGGTTCAATAGTGAATTTAAAATAGTAATTTTTTTTGTGTACAAATTAATTACACCCAATACCCAATGATTACCATCATTTACATTCGGATTAGTACACATTGTCACTAAAATCAATGTTTTTTGTGTAGCTTCCGATTGATAAATATATTCTACTAAAGGCCAATCATTTTTATTGAATAAAAAAACATAGATATAATGTGGTATGTATAGAATAGATCCTTTTTTTCCTTCCCTTATAATCCAACAAAGTATGAAGTTGTCAATTACTTCCCCAAAAATACATTGTTTCGCATATAAAGATCTAACTAATTCAGAATCTGGGTTATTAGGAATTGCCATAATCCTGAGTTCGTCTGCAGGACGAGCAAGCTTTTTTACATCTAAAAATTGATTGATTAAAAATAATTTTATTTGAAAATTAAAAATATTATATAATATTGTAAACAACATATATTGATAAATTATAATAGCGATGAGGTGAAAACAGCTATTGCAGTCTGGATACGATAAGATTTTTTAGTAACGGCATGAAAAAAACAGTAACGCGACAGGAAAAATATGAAAAAATAGTTAAGGAAAATAGATCCCATGTTGAAAACTTAATTTCTGATATTTAAGTCAAAGAATCGTAATTCAGCATGCATGTTAATAATACTCAATATTTGTATTCCATATAAGTATTCGAATATTACAAGAAATTTTTTTTCAAAACGTATTCGAATATTCAAATTTGTATTTACAAACACAAACATTTTTTAAATTATTTCAAATACTTTTGAGTTTTTTCTTAGTCTATGACAAGAGCAGGAAATGTTTTAATTATTGAATGCCTAGCCAAATTCAATTGTTTTTCTTTAAAATTTGAATCTTTTATTTTATTTAGGTTATTGTTACAAAAAAGATGAAATTTCATATATATTGGAGCTATTTGTTAACCTACAAAAATGTATAAAGTGTATAAAAATGTGTAATTTGTATATAAATGTTAATATTTTCTGAAGAATTATACAGGTGTTATTAAAACATATTGATAAAACAAAAAAAAAACTGATTATTTTAATTTTTAGTTATCCATCAATTAAGATCAAATTAAAAGTAAAACTCTTTTTATTTACAAAAAAAATTTTTTTTTTTAATCTATATCATATACAGGGTGTTCAGTAAGTCAGGAAACGGGTTTCTATTGTTCTCATTGTTTGTAACAATGAGAACAATAGAAACCCGTTTCCTGACTTACTGAACACTCTGTATAGATATACATATATCATCAGTCATTGATGTTTTTATATTTTGGAACACTATAGGGCGTAAATTAATCAATTCTATTTTCACGGTCGGGTTAGCTTCTCTCTCATAACAATTTTATATAATCTCTTTTTATAATTTACAAAATAATTTCAGTTTTAACAATTTTATTACATTAAAATTAAAAACTATTAAACGTGTTTTTCCAACGCTACCGTAATAGCAGTTTTAATTTTCATTAGTAAAATAGTCAATTTGATAGCTAAAATTCATGAAAATAACTAAATTTCAACAATGGTCTCTTAATATTTTAACTACCGTTGACATTAGCTAAAAAACCTACCCAGAAATTGCATTTATAAAATGAAAGAAACTCTAAATACAATCTCGTGCTTACGTTACAGTCAAGGTTTTATCTGCGTGTGCTAACTGGAATTCTTATACTCAAACTTTCAACACGACTATAATACCAGAAAATATTAGTTAACACTTTCCTACAATATATCAACACACAATAACACATCATTGATTATACTAGCCAACAAAATTGACAAAGAAAGTTTGGTGCCAGCATCCTTTTTGCTGATTTTGAAAGTATTTTCGTTTTCGATACTATTTCACTCGACTTGCGTTGCAATAGTGTGGTCGACACTGGTTTTCAGGGTAGAGACTCCGTGGGCCGTTTATTAATAAGCAATAACAGACTATTTGGAAAAAAAAACAAACCGAAAAATCGAACAAAACTAATAATAATCTTCGCATATTACCGCGCAACTTTCGCTGGTGTCGGCGACGCGGTGCCGGCATGATCCTCGAGCGTCAGAAAGTTAGCAGCGTTAAAGGCGACAGTGCGCTGGCCGGTTCGTCGAGTTCGGTCGTGCGGCACGTCCCGGAGCCGGTGGCGTACTTCCTCGAAGTTGTCATTTTGATAACGATAAAAAGACTCTGCGTATCATTTGCGGCGAGACATCGTCGACCGTATGGCACTTGCTGGATTTGCATCGTGGCGTATGGCACGAGGGTTTGGTTAGTCAAATACTTATAGTAAGGCGACGGCTAATAAAGGTGGCACGAGTCGCGGGACATCGTGTGTCACGTAGCGACGCAGGCCCGTGTCGCAATTTTTTAGATTTTCGGTATAAGCTCTAGTTTTTGAGATAATCACTAATTTCAAAAAATTCAAAAAATGATTAATAAAATTATGAAAAAAAACGGTAACACGGTGGGGTCGTGGACACAAATCGGACGTGGCAAGTTGATACAAGTTTATATGATATCAGACAGTGACTAAAATCACTAGCATAAGAGACGCTTCAATACTAATCTGTGGATATTATATAATTTTAAGAAATCGTTGGATTATTCCAAAAACAACATCTACTTCATTTTCCTTGTTTATATCCTGATTGCAAGTTTTATGATTTAAAAGTATCATATATGAATAAATATTTATTTATTTAATATTGCAATTTTTATGGAGAAATTATAAAAAAATTATTAAGTAGTTGTTTCTTTTACGGCAAACATGTACAAAATTGAAGATTTTAATGCAATACTTTTCAAAAAAAAAATTGCTACTTATGAAAAAGTTTACTGGTCTACAAGGAATTTTCCTACAAAAATTGCTGAAATAATTAATATTATATCTCTTACGTTTATACCAAAGTCATTAATTTGATATGAACTTCTAAAGATGTAATAAGAATTAAAAAATATATTTTTTATCTTTATCGCGCCAACTATATGAGACATATTTGATTTTAATTGTAAATATTATAAAAAATATCATTCATTTCTAACAATAATATCTTATATAAAAAATTCTGTAATGAAATATTATTTATTATGCTAAAAAATAAAATTTTATAATTTATTAATTTTATCACATGTTGCTATATGTTTTTGTTTATGTTCTACAAGCATTCTACAGTACGCATTACATTTCAGCTAGCCACCTTAGTATTAAGTTATTCATAAAAAAACTCTTATGTGCACATAAATAATGTTAATATCAATGTGATGTATGATTTTATTCTCAAATCGACGGCACATGTTTTCATATATATATTCTTTTGAACAAACTTAAAAAAATGTACGTCACAATCAGAAATTCTATGTAAATTTGCACCTTAATAGTTTGTGTGAATACATTTAGTGAAGTTACAAAGAAGTTAATACAAACTCAAAATAAACATAGATTCGTAAGTAACTTTTCATCGAAGACAAGGTCTTTTATAGTGTTAACGAAGCGATTTATATACGAAAGTATTTTTGTAATTTCGCATATACCAACTTGCACATGCGTTAAGCGTCCTAGGGATATCTCTGAAAAATCTTTGAGAACTTCATATAACCATCACAGATTAAAATGTTTACTTTACTTAATTTATTTGATGCTGCATTACTTAAATTAACCAAAAATATCACTTGAACAAAATTTGTCAAAGTTATTATTTAATAATCACAACGCTTACGTTTAGTTTGTTGTGCACTGAAGCAACCTAAAAAAGATTACAAATTTTTAACTGATTAAATGTATAAACTTATAAACTTCTATGTATAATATATGCTTGTATCGTAAAATCAGAACAGTCGTGAAAAAAAGATTTCACATGAAACCATTTTGATTGAAAATACCTATTGCTAAACTATGTATGTAATGTATACATCACAGTTTCACACACATTTTCTAAAAACTTACTTCGCATTTTATCTGAGACACCATTTGCACGAAATACAAAAATCATTAATATAAAAATGTGATTAACTAAACACTTTTTATTCATTGTTAAAAAAAAAATTTTAAATAATAATAATTTTAGTAAATTTTTTATTAGACGATTGCTGAAATTTAAATGTTCATAGTAAATTTGTAGAATAAATCTTACACATCAAAAATACTTTTATTTTCACAATTTAGAACAGTTCAAAGATAAACAACATGTGTTTTCGTTAGAAATAATTTTTTAAAACTGTATAGTACGGTCTATAACTTTTACATACACATATTTTAACATAATATTACAAACAATAAATAATTATAAATGTGTGCATTTCATTTTAATGCAATATAATTATATAATAATAATTTAATTATCACTTAGCTAATAACTAAATTTACTAAAAATTATTTTTTTAAATAATTTTAATAATATAATTTCACAAAAATGTGCTGCAAATGATGATTATTTTATAATTTAATTTTAAGTTTTTAATATTATAACAAACGTTTTGAAAAAAGTTAAGCTTTTAATTCATACGAATTACTACATTATAAGCAGTGCATTAACAATTATATTATAATTTTTCAATTTTTTCAATTGTTGGATCATTTAAAGTACCCAGTATAATAATCATAAATTATAATTAGATTATATTTGTAAAAAAATTAATTTACATTGTTGTTGAATTAAGTATCTTAAAAAATAACTTATTTGTTGCAATATCTTGATGAAATTATTCATTTTAATACCATGGTATAATGTAAAAATTATGGATACTAGAAAAAATTTGAATTTTTAATCAATTTGGTTCAGTCTAGCCAAAATAAATTATACTGTTGCATCTCTTCCTCTTATGAGCATATAACAGATTTTATAGCACTGACACGGTACCGTGTTTCCCTCAGCCGCACATCACGTTATCAACCTATATAAAAGTGAATCGGAACTAAATCATAAGTACACGGTGACCTTGTGGTAAGGTTTGTCTATAAGACGCCTTGGGTCGCGGGTTCTAATCCCGTACCGTACCTCTCTTTTTCACATGATTTCCGGTACACTTTCTATAACCGGCCGTCAATCCCCGGCGGCCGTGTCAGCATACTAAGGACTGCATTTCATATCACACCCCCAAAATTATTTTTAAAAAGTAATATAAATGATTTTTCTGAAATTTTTGGATTGTTTTTTCCTCCTTCCATCCATACACTAAAAAACCCAACTATACAAAAACATCGACATCGTACACGTTATCATGAAAAATGATCTAGAAGAGAGTCTTCATTTCGATACTAACAGAGTGTTCAATCGCATTCTATGACTTTTTAAGTGGCCCACAAAAATATGCACAACGCTTAAACATTCTACCTGTATCCGGTAGTCATCGTAAATGCGTTTTATATTCTAATTCTAATATTCTTATATTTTATAAATTACCAAAAATAACATTCAATATAAGTTTTTAAATAGACACATTTTACATAATATGATATATTATATCATACTGCTATACGCAACGTATACAACAGTACTCATTTGTTAAGACATCAAAAATAAATAAAATTTAAAAAGGTCGCACCCCTATAAAAACTGAAATTACACCACTAATATGGAAAATGAACCTTCCACGACTAAATGAATAAATACAGATACTATGAAGAACCAGTATTTTAAAAGATTTTAATAACTTTATTCAAGGACGTGAGGAGTAAAACACATTAGTTTATTTTTATCTCTGGCGTATATAAACCCACTGTTCCTCCGCCATAATACAAAAGAACTAATATCTTTAAAAATATGTTTCTATTTAAAAAAACTTAAGTTAATACTATCTTAAGTGGAGAGAATTATTTTTTTTTTTAATTATTGAATATATTAACTTCTAAAAAAAATTATAAAATGTTTATATTACGGTATAAAAAATTTATACAAATATCCCTTCACTCTCCCAATAAAACAAAATTCTGAGATTGCCTTTGGTCTATAATTAAATCAGTTTTATTAATTTTCTGATAATTTATTACCCATATCCGCATATAAATAAATACAATATTTCACTTTTAAGACTGAATGTATGGCAGAATAAAAAACAATAATTTTTAATGTTAATAGAGCTCACATAATAATGTATATAAATTATTTTAACTAAGTAATCAAATTGCCAACAATGTCAATAATAAAAAAAATTGAATTTTATTATTTTTCATCAGTTTTTTAGTTAGTTTTAAATTGTAAATCTCGAATAAATAATATTGAATA